GGACCACAAAACTGCCACAGACAGGGAGGAAGAGAACAGGACCTCAAGGCTTATGCCATGGAAATGCTGCCATTGGCTGGAATGGCTTATGCCATTTCACACCTTAGTGCCAGACTTAGCAGTGCAAGAGATTTCTGCTGTTTGACATCAGTAAGTGTCCAAGGCAGCACCAGATGGGACATTAAGATACTGCTGCCCCCTCTTGTGGTCACCTCAGCAGCTGGCAAAGCACACTGCTCTGGCTGCAAAGTAAACCTCAAGTGAATGAAAAAGATGCAGCAGTGCAGCCCGCAGCCAGCTGTGAAGGCCCATGGCGGCAGGTGGAGAGCAGAGCGCAGGTCCTCTCGCAGCGCAGCTAGGGAAAGGAGCAGCTCCCAGGATGCCTATGTGAGAGGGACCCTATCTTCAATTTAAAGAAGAGTTTCTGGCTGGGGGAGTCCCGGCAGCTCAAATTCCTGGGCCAGCACAGTGAATGCCTCTCTTTGAGAACAGACACAAATATTTTTTAACAGTCTTTAGGCTCGCAGCATCTGGGTTAGGTGTGTCAGAGCAGAGAACAAAGACACAGACACTTTGTCTACACAGAGATTTGTGGAAAATTTCCCATCTTCTTGCTAGAGCACCTAGCTGGCTCCACCAGAGCTCTTAGCCTTTGCAGCTCCTGTCGACTTGTCAGCTATCATTTTGTCTATCCTCTCATGTAGACTGGCTCTGGGCAACTTCGAGAACACAGTAATTAAATGCTAGGTCTGGCCTTTGCTAACTCTCCTCGAGCTGTTACAGGAACCAACGGTGTTTCAAAACTCCTGACACAGATGCAGATGAGGACATTTCTGAGAGGCAGTCATTGACTAAGGGCCACAGAAACTCTGTCACGCCCAAGGTGGCACCTTGCCCAGGAAACAGTCATTTCCCTGTGACACTAGTCAGCCAAGCTTCCTTGCAAAAAGTTCCTCCAGACCTTTTTATGGTCTGTGTTGCAGAAGAGATTTGATCTGCTATAATTTCTTTCAAATAAAGGTTGTCATATATGTCCATACTTCCTCGTGACTGTAAGTTACTATCGTAACACTCAGTTCTGTGCTGGACGACCAAGGGAGAGTATTTCCAACTTTTCTCTCCATTTCTTCAAGGAGAAAACAGGATGCCTGGAAAGTTTTCATAGGCTATTTCCCATGCGGGCACTGCTTTCGCAAGCAAGGTGTGCTTACTAAATTCTGGAATAGCCATAGCACTTCAAATCCGCATCTGATCTTACTCTGAAAGAATTTCTTTAAATAGGATAAGTATTACAGATGCAAACTCTAAATGATGCCACTACCGTATAAAGAGAACCACAGATCAGACTGTGACTCCCCTTTATGTAGCAAGTGCCAGGAATTCACTTATCCCATGAAGCCAAGTTACCTGAAGGTGAGAGGAAAGAAAAGGGCATGGCACTGGAGCAGAACTGCTGGTGGAGCACTGCAGCCCGACTTGGTCTTGTCCAAACAATTATATCCCTTACCTGAACGGCTGCTTGACGTTCACCCCCTGTTTGCATGGCTGAGGTTTGAACAATGTTCAGTTCAGGATTCCCAGAACTGGCTGGAAAACGCGCACCATCGTCCTCTTGCTGGCTGCAGCTGAAGTGCTCTCCCGTGTCAGCCCTCAGCTGCCTCTGCTAACTTTAACTATAGCAGCAGGACCAGAGATGTCCAGGTCGTCACAGGACGGGGTGCAAGAGGTGCTCCTCTCCTGGGCTAGGCTGGTATCGACTCTGCCAACATGGAAACTGGTTGTCGTCTTGTCTTCCTCAGAGAAAGCTGCGGTGGAAACAGGCTATAGACTACAGTCCCAAGGAAAAGCGCAATAGATGCATACATAAGCACACACTGCAAGAGGATTTCTAGGTGCTTTCCTAGCTTTTCCCACAGCACTGAGAGGTATTTTATGTCTTTTAAAAGCAAACTGAAAGGTAGGGATAGATTAAGCTTATGTCTACTGCCACTTCCCCTCTTTTGAGTCTTGGCTGTTTCGTAAACACGATAAAAAAAGTCCTGAGAAATCTCCAGTCCACTAATATTTTTTTCTTCTGTTCCCCTTCAAGAGATTCTGGGTTCTCTCTACTTTAGAAGGCTGCGTGGAGAATGGATATGGCTGTGATACGTCACTCTCTTCGCATCTCAGCTCAGCATGACTTTGACTCTTCTTTCATTTGGAACTAAAAGACTCTGAGTTCCTATTTAGGAGCCCAAAGCATGCATCAAAAGGAATAAATCTGACCAGTCCTAATGCTTCTAGTAAGGGGGAAAAAAAGTCAAGCTTTCTTTTTACATTATACAGAGCTTGAACACAACCCTATTCCTCCTTCCCCCTGGTTTCAGAGCTCTCTTTTTAACCTGACTGTACTGTTTGACCTCAAAGCTAAAATAATTTCTTCCTTAAGCAATAAATTAGGCAGAAGAGTTAAAGTAATTTATCAGAAAGTATCACATCACCCTAGCTTTTGTCCTGGAGACAATATTCTGCTTTGCCGCTGTGGAGCCATCCACTTGTCATGCCACGGACAGCTGCTTTGTTTATTTACAGAGCCATTGTGCCACAGGGAAGCCGGGGACACCTGATATTTAACTGTGAGCCAGTGTTTCCTGCCTCCGGACTAGGAACCACACAAAGCATGCGAGTCCTCCTCGAGCCCACTGGGAGTAACTCATCCAAAAGCTTGGTCAGGGGAAGGTGGTTAAAAAGTTTTGCTAGAGCAGAAGGGACAAGAGGCTCTATGACCCTCCTTCCCCAAAGGTGGGAGCTGTTAAAAAGTCAGACTGGACAATTCTGAGCAGGCAGCAAGTTTCCCTCAGTCGAGCAGCACCACCTGACAGGAGCTACAGGAGTTTGAAAGGCATCTGGTTCCACAAGCCATGCGAACAACCGCCTTAAAAACACTGACCTCAGTAGGGAAAATGCTGGCAGCACCAACAAGGGGCCAACTCCAGTTCCCACATGTCACCTCTCCAGAGCCACAGGGAGCCTCCCGCAGAGCAGCACAGCAGAGAGGCTGTCTTGGGGAGATGGGCTCCTACGGCTCCCAGATCAGTGCCGAGGGACCACTGCGCCGGGAAGAGCAGCTCTGCCCCAAAAGGAGCAACGCTGCACATAATTGCTTGTTTCTTGCTGTGACCAGGAGAACAGCCAGGATTTGCTCACTGTCAGGCAGAACTAGTGAAACAACAAGGCAGCTGAACTTTCACCAGAAACATCTGCATTAGGCCATTTTGAGTGCTGATACACCCATTAGTCCTCTGAGGGTACCACCCCCCTGCCCTCCAAAAAAACCCTCAACTCCCTTTTCCACATTCTTTAGTTTTGCTTCATTAAAAAATGAGATTTTTAACAATCCTTTCCCCCCCCCCCAACTTTTATAAAGTTAATTCCAGTTACATTTTTCTTGGTTTAATATGTTGCATAATAATGTGACATCAATACATTGTTGGGGGGGATTTTTATGTTGCAAAAAGTTTCAAAATCTGGGCTCTCATTCCAATTTGAAAAATAAACAAATTTTAAAATGTTGGAACTTCCCGTGGAAGCAAAATTCTTGTTTCTGCCTGGGGAAAGAGCCGTTCCCTCTGAGGAGGGCAGCTACATGCGGGCAGCAGAGAGGGGGTGTGAAATCAGAGAGCCAAGGCTGGCCTGAAGACAAGCCTGAGCTCTGAGCCCTGGCCTGCAGAGGTGAGCGCTTTTTCGCCCTCTCCGGCACACCCTGCATTGGAGCTGTTAGCAAAGCCCCGTGGTGACCCCACACGGTAAGACCTGGGGAATGCACACCTCCAGTGTGCAAGCGTTAGGTGTGAAGCTTTGCAGGCTCAGCCTGGGTCTAGTTCAGTGCCAGCCTGTCTCTGAGCTCCCTGTTTTGCGTTACACTGAAGTGCTGCTATTCCTCATCACCTCCATCCTCCCCATGCCGGCAAGCAGCAGGAGCAGCTGACGCTCATCGGCAGGGGCTCACTTTGCGGCAGGGAAGGCTGGCTGCTGCTCTGTGTGCTCAGTGTGCATGCTCTGGCTTTTTGGACAGAGGGACAAAGTGCTTTTGCAAGCTGCAAAGCAAATATGAGCACTTTGGCCAGACCTGCAGACTCTGCCAGGGCCACATCTAGCACCACTAGATACAGAGATATGTTTTAAGTGAAAGAAAGACAGCGTAAACGTACCTAGCCTTCTTTCTTTGGAGACTATCCAGGGAAGTGGCTTTGGTTTCAAGCAGCACATTCACAGCACAGGTTACCCACTCTGTGCCATGACGGATGCTCGGAGTTGCTCTTCACATTGTTCAGAGGGAGCAACACGGGCACCTAGAAACGGCAGAACAGGAGCCAGTATGGTTCAGGTGTGAGAGGAGAAAGAGATGGTAGTGATTGATAAAGCAAAACACAGGCCAGACAGGAGTGCAGGAGAGGAAACCTCCTCTGTGCAGGCAGTGCTCAGAGGCACAGCACTGCCAGTTCAGTGAGACAGGGGCAGAATAGCCTACTTTTAATACATACCCATTGTTGATTAGCAAAATTTACACTGCAGTGTCCGAGTGATCACCAGCCTGGAGATATAGCTAGAGCAACTAGCTGTTGTTTGAAGTATAGTGTCTGCTTTTGGTTTCAGACCCAAACCCCAAACCAGTCTGACCAGCTGGAACCCAGTTTCAGGTTACACCCTTCTTTGCTCTCTCCCTGACTTAGTGAGTGGGTAATCATCTCACTCCCAGTACTCCTCATGCAGTAATGCTCTCTCCAGTTACCCCTACGTGCTGCATTCACCAGTTCATGCCCTGTCCCCTGACACCCACCCAGTGACAAACCATGGGATCACTGCTGCAGAAACATCTGAACACCCTTTCCTGAGCTACCGCAGTCCGAACAGATGAAAGGGTATGAGATAGCATGCATGGGAACCATACCTTCCCTCCTTTGAAGGTCATTGCTTCTCAGATACCACTCCCAAGTCAGATAAGACAAAAAATTCTGTTTTATTACAACTTGTATTATCAGAGTGAATGCACAAAAAATAAATCAAGATGTTAGGTTTATTACATAGGCCATAGGGGCTGTGAGGGGGAAAAAAAAAAAGAAACGGAAGAAGTAACACTAGACAGACCAAGAAAAGCCATGGAGTATCTGACCTGCCTCAGGGATACTGAGGCAGATATCCATGAGCATGAGCCCCCCTGTGAAAGGGAGAAGCATGCAGTCAGATTTTGCCAGTGGTCTGCGGGCCGTTGTTTCCTCCCTTCCAGCCCAGGCATCGGCCTAAAGAGGCAGCTCTCCTGGAGCTGCACTTGAGAGGACCCGAGCTCTCAGATGAGCCCTGCATGGCTTCACCACGGTCTTCCAGAGCCGCTGTACCCTTGGCCCTGAAAGGGATGACCCCGTGCACCAGGGTCCAGATATTTAAACTAAAATTTGTACATACTCTTACGCTTTCTTACACTGCCCACAAACACACACATACACACTCATGCACACACATACACTCAAATACAAGGCTTTCTTCTCTCTTCGTGGCAGGAATTTTCTAAGAGCAGCAAGCGTAGGGAATTTAGGGTTGATGCAAATCCCACACTGAATAAAGCTTACTAGGCACTTCGGAAATGGCAGCTTCTGCCCCTAACAGAAGTCTTCAGCTCCCAGAGGTACAAGCCTGGACTTCAGAGAAATAGCAGTACAAAGCTGAGGAGCATCCTGCTATGACAGCCTATAAATGAACATATAGGACCTCGCAGATGGGGGGAATTTCACAAACTGCCTCTTGGCCTGGGATTAACGTTGGACCTCCAGGAGCTGGGCTCATCTTGCACCAAGAGGGACAGGACAGAAGGAATGAGGAAGGTCACGTCTGAGCCCTGCCTGTTCCTGCGCTGTGGGAGATACCAGGTCACAGGGCAGCAGCTGTGTGCTCCAGGGAGACAGAACTAAAACAAGAGCGACAGCACTGATTTCCTAGAGGAGCTGCAGCCACCAGCCCTGCTCAGCAGCACAGCCAGGGCCACGCAGCAGCTTCAGCACCCCTGGGATGGCTACGTGCTGCCCTTCAGATACTGCCCTGAGGCAGGTGCCGTTACCCTCCGGTTCCTCCTTGCGTTCCCTTCCTTCACTGTGCTTCTCCCCCAAGAGAGAGAAGCACCTCCCTCAGAGGAAACTTCCCAGCTGCAAACCCCAAGCAGTGCTTTGACAGGATGTTTCCAGGAAGCCTCTTCGGGAGCACTAGGCATCGCTGGCTAGCACAGCAGCAGCAGAGGTGTGACTGGCTCTGAGGGAGCTGGGTCCTTCCACTCTCCTCTTACTATCAGCCAGAAAAGTGGGAACATTTCCTTTCATTTCACTTAAGAGTAGAGAATAAATAGATATTTTGTCAATGTGTTCAGGGTTCGACTGAACACTGAAAAAGCACGGGGCAACTCATGAAGAGAAAATGGTGGCTGTAACATGCAGCCAAGCAAAAAATTCTAGGTGCACTTTTCTGTTAAAAAACAAAATCTATTGATTAAAACAGATATTTCCCTGTTTCCTTCCATCCCAGGAATGGAAACGACTTGAGAGCGTCACAGAGCTTTCAGAACAGGTTATGTAAAGCACACAACCGCCAAGAGACTCATCACGGCCACAGTGACGACAGGAAGGCAAGGCCACCTTGCAAAGGTCTAGGGAAAATGGAGGAAAATAAGAGGTTGGGCAGAGGAAAGTGGCACTGCACAAACAAAAATTGCTGGCTGTGGTGAGCTTGCACCATTCACCAATATAAATGCTACACACATTCAGTCCCAGGGTCCTTCAGTAAAAACAGCTGAGTTCTGCCCCAGGTTTAAGGAGGAAGAATGATGTCATTCAGAGTTGTCATTGGATTGCTTGAAGTTGGGAAGGGACAGACATCAGAGAGCATCAAAATGCTCCCAAAGCCTCAGTTTCCAGAGCAGCCAGTTATCCAAGACAATCACAATCAGTAGTACTGCCAGATCATGGCTAGATCTTGGCCTCATGCTACAAACATCTTCTAACAGAAAAAGTCCTTCTGGCACAAGCCCATATTTAAAGACAAAACTCCAAAAGTTCTTGGGAGCGTCCCAGTGCTGAGCCAGAAAGAGAGAGAGGTTGTAGGTCAGACTGGTTTGGTGGCACCGTTGTAAAACAGGTGCGTAGTGTCCTCTGTGGTGGAGAGGGTTGAGTTGGTAGCAGTGGCTGGCTGACGGCGTCTACTGTTCTTCCTTTTCTTGAGGAAGAAGTAGCCAATGATCGTCAGGACCACCATGATGCAGATCCCAAGGAGCACAGCAATCACCACCTCAAAGGCACCTGCAGGAGACGCATGCACGCATGTTAGAAGGGCCACTCCACTAGCTCTAAAGCAGCACAAATGCTCAGGGAAAAGCAAGCACAAAAGCTACTCAAGAAGCTACGCTGGAAAAGAGATGAAGAGTGGTGAATGCAAAGTTGAGCAAAGAAGAAAGGTAACTGCATGGCATAAGGGTCTGGCCAGGATATACCAGGCTTCTCTCTTCCAAACTGCAGTTCCCATCATTTCTCAGCTGCACCACGCCCTCTAAAGGCTGGTTGGTGACTTCTGCAGACTTGGCTATTTGACATTCATATCAATATCAAACCCTTTCCCAACATTGGCTTTGCTTCATGCATCAACTGGGAGCCCCCAGATGGCTGGCTGCAGAGAACGCCGTCTGGAGTGGATAATGTTTTTTGAGCAAGACTATGGTGAACTCATTAGGTACAGTGGGGAACACCATGGGGAAAGAGCTCACAGGTGTGCTGTGAGCAAACACAAGTTGGCAGTCTTCTACCATGCCAACCAAACTCCTGTGTCATCAGTGCAGAGAGAATCAGACATGACGTATTTGAGAGCTGGGGTGAATCAGAGGGTTAAATCAATCTCTGGGGCTTGAACAGAAGTGTAAAGTATCAGGATTGCTCTAGTGAAGAAAGAGACGTTACAACTCTGTGATGAAAGGACATCAAGCTTAATGTGCGTGCTGTTCTTTTAAGATCTTATAAATGGATGGCTTTGCTGTTATTTTTAAATGTAGGTAGGAGTTACAGCGACATTAGATTTTCCCCACAGTTTAGCACCCAATTTTCTTCACATTGACCTGTGCCTTGTCTTTTGGAGAAGTAACTGGTCCTTATGAACACACAGCCCTTGTGAAAAATTTTCCCTGCTATTTTTTGACCTTGAACACTGGAGTATTCATGCAAATGTTGATGGAAAGAGAATCAGAGGCCTCTGCTATGAGCTACTGCGTCACAGCCAAAGGGGAAATCAGACCACAGATGCACAATCCTCAGAAGTGTCTCTTTAGCCACTGCCAGTGTCCCACAAATCCCACACCGCTTCCTCAACTTAAAAAGGCAGGGTTAGGGAGAAGGTTATTATTTTCAAGAAAAGGCAAAATGTTTTTTCAGGGCAGGGTAAAAGTAATAAACAATCTCTGTAGAAAGAACCATTACTCACTTAAGCTAGCACTTTGGGGCTCAAATGATTCCCATCTCCGGCCAATGACATCTGCTTCTGAATAGGGAGCAGAAGGGGAAAAAAAAAAGAGTTTTAAAAAGAAGAGTGGGAACAAGGGATAAGACAGGCTTTTTAGGAACATATTTCCTGTACTCTGATGTGAATGGATGCGTATAGCATGCTTCCTGACAGCTGTGGTACTGAGCTCTCAGGGAAGGCCAGGGAAGCACAGTACAGCTAAGCAGAACGTTCAGAAGAGCAGCAACAGGTTGCTTCCTCTCGGATATGCTCTGGCTGAATTCCTCGCACTGCTGCTGTTGGCTCCCTCAGGAGCACCCACAGATCTACACTGCAAGAGCCTTCCCTCTTGTTTGTTTAAAGCCACTGCTTAATACCTATCATTAAGGATTTTCTTGCATTTCAAGGAACAGCAAAGAACTGTTCCCTACTCACCTTCTCTAGCCATTGGCAAACATAAATACTTCTGCTTCTCCCCTCTCTTCCTCCCCTCCCATTTGGGGAGAACTGGAGCCAAGCTAGAAAATTATATTCTCTTTAGAGAGGCCATCCCTATCTCCAGTTACTTTTGTCACTCTTTTCTGTACCTTTTTCAGCACCAATATCCAAAATGTTTTTCCAGCTCTGAGATATGTCAAGTAAGCTGCATTGCAGAAAGATGCTGTGTACACATACTGTCTCCTTAAGCAAGCAGTCACGTTGAAGAATGCTGTGGGGCATGGCCAGGCTTACAGAACAGAGCTGCTTTGTCTGAAGGCTTCCAAGTTCCTGCCTCTTTGGGACCACAGAATTTAATCAGATGGGAGTTGCAACGCTCCAGCCCTCACTATGCCTGCTTACTTGTGATGCCTGCACATGATTTCATGCACTCTTCCTCTTCTCCAAAGTTGTTCTGGTTACCGTCACAGCCCCCGTAGGTGAAGCGGTCACATTTCTCAGCGAATGGGTTGTAATACCAGCGTGGGATGCTCTCCGTGCACAGTCCAGTATCGGGCAAATCCACACAGTGACCTGGCAAAGCAAGAGAGGTGTTCTAGCCCAAGCAGCATGTTCCTAGAGCAGCAACATTTTCTGCTTGCACTAGCAAAGCACAAGCGCCACTGGAACAGGGAATCCATGGATAGACCAGTGTCTCTCAGGTTCCCACTGTTCAGTTGCCAACTGCTCAAAACTGGACATTGCCAAGTTGAGCTGACACCTGCCTGTAAACCTCAACAGCAACTAGGAAACAGAAATATCAGAGTGTACAGTCATGCTAGACCTTGATTTCAATCCCCTGTGGTGTCTAAGAAACCAGTCTGGTTAGGGTCTTCACTACAAGCAAGCTGCACTTAAGCTGACTTGGGATATATTCTTTTAGCACAGCGGCACCGCCGGTGTCTATACTAGTATAAACAGGGCAAAGGCATGGGATCAAGTACCGGCATATGATTACCCATCCTTGGTAACTGCTATGTCCTCCATACTGCTTTGGTCTGTGCTATTTCCCAAACAGTGCTAGGTATGCTGCAGGGTACAGTACAGGCCAGCTGCTGTGCCCAACAGGCAATACAGATGAAGCCACCTGAGTAGAAAGAGTTTAGATATATGAGTGAGAGCCTGGCTATAGACAGCTGTCTTCAAAATCAGAGAACAGGTCCTTGACCATTTTGAATACAGCTATAGCCATTGGGACTGTCTAGATACTACATTTATTTTTGGAATTAGAGAGGGAAGCAGTTTTACCTTGAAACAATAGACTGGCTAAAAAGGCAAAAACTGGCAGATGTCAGCCTAGGTGCTCTTGACAGACAGTACCTACCTTTCTTATTTGTGACATTGATTTTCTGCAGTCTATTGAATTCACGAGCATCTGCGAGAGAAACATTTCATGTTAAAACTACTCTTCCCAGCTGAACACAAAAGGAATGCCTCTGTCCATACAGATATGGGCAAAAAGGGCTTTTCTGCAGATACCTTTGCTATCACAAGCCAGGGAAAGGGAGATATAAACGGGGGTTCTTAGATACCCGAAAGCTATGAGAAGAACATGTGAAAATAAAATGTAATTACTAGGAACTATTCCCAGTTTCCGTTCTACAAATACAGAGGAAGCTAAGGAAAGCTAAGGAAAACACAGGCTACTTTCTTAGCTTTTTCCATTAAAAAAGTGGGGCAACTGCTATAATTCCAGAAGTATGAACAAACATTAGTGTCGCATCACAATAGTCACATGCTCACAGCCTAGAAAGGTTGAACACCCCTGCCCCCGCCATGGCAATTCTGTCAGAAGAGAGGAGAGAGGGATTACAGGTTTCAGCAGTTAACCACTGTGGATTTACTGTAGCATAACATGAGGATGCTAAGGGGACAGTAAGATGTGACACTTAACAGACTGGGAGAATTCAGTTTCATTTATCACCTCCAAGCCCCAGGAGACCAGCTAAGGCAATTCAGAAATAAAGTACTGGAAGGCAAGGAGAGGACAGGCTCTGAAGACTTGCAGACAGATGTGGAGAAGAGAGTGGAAGAGTTTTCAAGAGGCAGCAAACATCCCAGAAGCATGATCAGCTCTTGCAATCAGCTGGGATAAGGGAGATGGCAGAATCTGAAAATAAGATAATACTGCGGAAAGAAGTCTATATATAGAGTAAGGAGATGAGAACAGAAGGCAACAGAAAGCATTGAATCATTAGCTCTAACTTACATTGCGCTCACTCCTGTCTGACATTTCCAAGTCAGAATTTGGAAGTACTTACATTGTTCACAATACATCTCATCTGATCCATCGGCACAGTCTAGAGTTTCATCGCACTCCAGATAGGCATCAATGCAACAGCCATCCTTGCATCTGAAGGTGGGGGGCTGACAGTTCCCATTGCATACTGCATCAGAAACAGTTCAGACAACTCATTAAAATATATTATTTTGCCCTGCCACACGGATGCTTTATGAAGGACTTAAAAGCTGGTGATAGGACTGGCAAACAAGAAATAAGGCAGCTTGGGTAAGGTCTCTCTTCAATGCCACTCTGAACAAAAACAAAAAAAAAAACACACACATACTTCACCCTCTTGTGTGTAAGCAAAGCATTGCTTTGGGAACAACCATGCTTCCTCTCAAAAAGGAAGTACACAGAGGGTGGAGGCAGGAATAAGCTACCCAGGAGGAATATGGAGATGTTGCCCAATCATGCAGGGATTAAATTAAGAAAGCTGAAGCTCAGCTGGAGTGGAAACTAGCAAGGGATGTGAAGCGCAACATGAAGGGCTTCCACAGCTACATCAATTGCATACGAAAGACTTAGGAAATCATATGCCTGCTCCTCTGTGAGGCTGGGGACATGGTGACAAGGGACACAGAAGAGAATGAGGTACTCAATGCCATATTTGCCTCAGTCTTTACAGAGAAGGTCTGCCCTCATGCCTGCCAGGTCCCTGGCTCATTTGTACACTCCGGCTGGTGAAGCATCGCCCATAGTAGAGGAAGATCACGTTAAAGACCGCTTAAGCAAAGGGGACGCACGTAAGTCCATGGGGTGACATGGGAGGCATCCAAGAGCGCTGAGAGAGCTGGCCAGTGTCATTCAGAGGCTGCTCTCTATTGTCTCTGAAAGGCTGTAGTGATCAGGGGAAGTTCCTGATGGCTGGAAAAGGTATACATCGCTTCCATCTTCAAGAAAGGCAAGAAGGAGGATCTGGAGAAATACAGGCTGGTCAGCTGAACCTCAACCCCTAGGAAGATTATGGAGCAAATCCTTCTGGATGAGGCAATTGAGCGCACCCTCAGCAAGTTTGTGAATGATTCTGAATGGCGGGCAGCAGCTAATATGCTGCAGGGAAGAGCTGCCATGCAGAGAGACCTTGGCAGGCTAGAGAAATGCGTCACAGAGTGCAAAGGCAAATGGGAAGACTAAGCAGCAAGTTAAAAGTCCCATACCTGAGACAAAACAACCCCATGCAACAGTGCAGGCGTCAATGGGCTAGAAAGCAATTCTGCAGAAAAAGACCTAGGGGTCAGGACGGACAAATTGAATGTGAATCAGCAGTGAGCCCTCATGGCAGTGAAGGCCAGCTGCATTCTGGGCTGTGTTAGCCAGCAGAGACAAGTGATTATTCCCCACTACTCCAGATATTGTTTCAAGTGCTGAATACTGCACCCAGTTCTGGGCTCCTCAGTACAAGAAAGATGTTAGCGTGCTGGAATGAACTCAACAAAGATTCACCAAGGGGCTGGAGCACATGACCTGATGTGAGGCTACGGAGAAGACAGAGCCAGACTCTTTTCAGAAGTGCACAATAATAGAGGCAACAGATAAAATTTGCAACAAGGGAAAATCTGATTTGGTATTAGGAAAAAAATTCATAATAAAGGAGGTCAAACAACGGCATAGGTTGCCCAGAGAGATGTAGATTCTCCTTCCTCAGAGATACTCAAAGCTGGATGGGACGCAGTCCTGAGCAACCTGATATGATCCACTTCCGGCCCTGCTTGAGCAGTGGGTTGGACCAGATGACCTCCAGAGGTATTTTTCAACCTGAATTATCCTATGACGTGAAAGTGAAAGCCTAGTAGAGAAATCAGTCTCCAGTGCCTTGCTTTCCGTACTGAGTGCTAGTCAAAGAGCCGCGGGAATGGATATGAGAAACTAAGCCTGAGATTACAGCAGGATTACGTGGTGGTTCAAGAGGCTTACCTGGCTGTTGTCTTCCACCAACAGAACCTGAAGAGACAAGGGGAAAAATAAAATAAAATTACCACCATATTATATTGTCAGCTCAGGATCAGTTTTGGACTGCCTTCATGTCTCATCTAAGAAATGCATTTTTTTCTGAAACAAACCTCTATAGGGACGGGGAATAGAAATACAAATTTCCACAATCCAGAGAATCCCACATGAGCAATACCTGTGCGAGGCAAGACTGGAGAAGGACATGGCAAAGTTCCTATTGCTAGCTAGACTCTTCCTGAAAAGTCCTTCTGTTTGAAACCTTTTGTCCCCACCTTAAACTGTACACCTCAGAGGGGCCTGGTAGAGACTCAGGCCATTTATCTGAGGCAGTGCTATGAGTGGGCCAAGGGAAAAGATTAATTTCATCTGAGGTGTGAAAGGTGAGAAGGGAGGGCACTTCTGACTCCCCCACAGCACAACACTAGCCTCCGAATGTAGGTTCAGGATGTGGCACAAAGATTCTGGGAGGATTTCTGTGGCCAGAGATACACCATGGACACCTGGTCCTGAATGCGTCCTGCAAACAGAATGAACCTGCTTCCTGCTGCTGTCTAGCCTGGCTAGAGACACTAAAATACCATCCATGATAACACTTCATGCTGACTGGCACACAGACAACGGAGCAGTACTCTGGGAGCTGGGTCAGATACTTTGGCAGTGCAATACTCCCCATCACTAATTAACCTGGTCTCCTTGGCTCTCCTGACTCTAACTCTAGCTGCCAGCCAAGAAGCTACCGTATGTGCCTATCGGATCACCTATGTGAAAGAGGGGGTTGATTTTTGAAACAGACTCACCTTTAACATTCTTGCAGGCAAGTTTACACTCCTCTTCCCGCAAGTAGTTATTCTTGTTGGGCTTGCAGCCCCCAAAAATGAACTGTTCACACTGCTGAAGACTTGGGTTGTAAAACCAACGTGGAAAAGATCCTCGACATCGACCCACCTTCTTAGGAGTCAAACAGTGCTCTATCAAGAAAGTTAACATAGAAAGGTCTGATTAGTTTGCTTTATCTTCACATATACAAAGGAAAAATCTTGCAGAGGAAAGTACCTTAAGAGCATGGATACATGACTGAAAGATTTATAAAATCCTGAGGAGCATGGAGAAGGTCAGTAGGGAGTGATGGTATATGGTTTCTTATCATATGAAAGGCAGAGACACAAAATCAAATTAGCAGGTGGCACATTCATAAACCACAAAAGGAGCTACTTCTCCTGTGTGCTACAGCACATAGTTAAGTTGTAAAACTCCTTGCTTCACGGTGTTGCTGCTGCCAAAACATTACATGAGTTCAAAAAAGGGATTCAGCCATGGCTATTAAACACAGATACCATCTTTTACTTAAAAAAAAAAAAAAACTTCCAGCTCAAATTGCTTGGAGCCTGGCCAAACATACGAGGGAGACACTGAAAGCATGCCATATTCTTGTAATCTTTCCAAAGTATCAACCACAGGACACAGCTGGATGCAGCATGCTGGATTTCAGACAGACCTTTTGAGTGACCTGACATGGCTGTTCTTATATTTTCACAGTACCTTAGACAGGAGAATAAATTCTCTACTTAGCTACCTGTCAGCTGTTTGTCTAAAAACGCCTTCCCCCTAATAAACTTGTAATGCTGAACGTGCTGACCACTGAAAAAGCTTTTTGAAGCAAAAAATCTAGATAAAGCCTGGGCCACTTTGAACATCATGCTCATGGTTCCACATATGCTGCAGGCTAAGGGAATTAGGACCTTCACAGCAAACCATGGAGTAAATACAACCTTTTGGGTTCTCTTTGTCTCTTACACCCTCAGCTGCACTCTAGTCTTCAGCCACTCTGGTGTAACCCAGCAGAGGGCAACGGCATGCGGAGAGAAACACACTATTGCAGGCTGCCTCTTCTGCAAGAGGATGCGGAAACCGTAAAACAGATCCCATGAACGCAGAGGTCTTCTTCCACCCTGGTTCAGGTGCAGGTTTTTACCGGAAGAAATTGACATGCAAGTCTTGTCTCCTATTCATGCTCTTTTCCCATCTATGCCCTCTCAGCAGAGGTCTGGTAATGCCAGAGCAGCACCCAACTTTGGGGCAGAGTTTTGCTGGAGACTCCAGCTGAATGGCTGCGGGGTCGGGCTCACCTTCAGTCTGTTCAGAATTCAGCACCGTGATGGTGATGTTGGTGAAGTCCTGCTGGTGCGCGGTGTCCACGACAGTAAGCTGGAAGACGTAAGTCCCCACCTGTAGGTTGGAGACTTCCACTTGATCTTCTTCCTGTTTCTGAGAATGCAAAAGAGAGATTCTGCAGAAGAACATCTAATGAAGCGGTGAGTGAAGCTACGAAAGGCTTGTGCTTGTATTGCATTAGCTGGAAAGAAGCTTGGCTGGAAACCTCCAAGCAGAAGTCTGGCATTAAAAATATCTCAGTGCTGTACAACCTCCCCCAAATCTGTGGGATGGATTCTGACTGCTGGTGCCAAGCTGGAATAGGGGAGAGAAGCAATACCACAAGCCTAATCAGAAATTCCATATTTTGGCAAGTTTTGAAAGCACCTGGAAAGATAAAACAGTCTTTGGAGAAGACCAAAATATCTGTAGTTTTAATTTTATTTTCTTAAAAATGAAAAACGTCATGGATAATTTATTTAGCAGATAGCATACTCCTTCATTTTAAATGTGACAAATACATTTAGTTTTAAAGACGGAGATGCAATGAATATTGCTTTGCTTGCTGAGAGGTTTCTAAGAGAAATTACTGTGTCAGAGTAGAAGGCTTTGGCATTATTGATACAAACTTTCTCCCTTTCTTTGCTAACAACACTCAGCCTCCATTTCCATGCTATCTCTGCCCTTTGGATTATGTTTCTAGAGAGCACAATATGACTACATATCATTTTACTGGCGATAACACAGCATAAGACTAAGGATCAATAGTAAATTTGGCCTGAAATATGTGAGCCAGTGTTATTCAGGAATTCTAATGGCCCAACAAAGAGGAGCAGAAAAAAATAGTGGAGCAGAAAAATAAAAAAAAAAATAAGGGCAGGTCCCTCATCGAAATATATTGACTTGGGAGCAGGGGAGGTTTTTGCACTGCAGCTGTCGTCTCATGCATGCACTCACCGGGACAGATCAGGCATTGCACAGGCACAGACAAGGAACAGTCAAGATCCCATTGTGGCGCAAGAAGCCAGAGCCCTGATGAAGCTCAGCAACATTACCTCTTAGTAGGGCATGTAAAGGAAGGGAGTGACCACAGGGAGTGCACCACACCTTTGAAGGACAGGCTCTTGGGTGGAATGGCACAAGGCAGAAGGACAAGGTGACCCCTAAGACACTGGTTGTGAGAGCGCAATCTGTTGCAGGCCACAGGCAATACTGAGTAAGCTGCTTCCTTCACTCAGCTCCCTACCTTCATCTCCACAGAGGGGTCACCAAGGAGCTGTTTCCATTCATAGCTGACAATCCCGTGGTCATCTGTGCTCTCTGTGCCTCTCAGCAACACTGCCTCGCCTGGCTGTACTCTCATGTCCAAGCCAGTGCGGGCTATTGGAGGACGATCATCTGGAGAAGAAATGCAGAGCAAAGATTGGGTGGGAGGCTGAAGGACTGAGTCCCTGTTTTCATGATAGGAGAGGGAGATTTTTCCAGACTAAATCTATACAGACTTCAGTTACTAAAAAGAAAATACTTTATTACAGTTGTGCTTCTTGCAGGCTGAGCAAGCAACAAGCAACCAATGCCGTTACTGCTGCCCTCATTAATTTAGTAACTCTGCAACCCCTTCTGGCTACCAGAAGGGTAGCATAGCCAGTTGGCTACCGAGCCATTTCTACCCACAGGAATCACCGTAGGGGAGTGTCTCTGTGGCTAAAGACATTGTGCTTCTAACAGTCACACCAACACAGAGCAATCTCTACTTCACCACATAGGAGATGACTTCATGTGGCTGTTAAAGAATGTGGAACTGACTCTCATCACTCCTACCAGGATCTCTAAGCGTTATATTGGTGTACTTATCCAGAACTAGGCACCTGGAGATTTGGATAGAAAATATCCTTCCTCCATCTTATCTTCACCCCACTGTTTGACACATGCACTAAAAAATACACACAAATGCTATTCATGCAATCATTATTTTTGTGCTACTCGACATATCATCTTACTAGCAGCCACCCACAGTCCATTAAATACTTTTCCAGACAGCTAGGTGTAAGAGATGAAAACTGACCTCTGCCCATGCCAACAGGAATAGACTATGCAATGACACCACGAGTTCCTTTTGGTCTGAACATTGCTGATTACAGCCTCCTGCATAGTTCAGACCATAAAACTCCACCTAGTAGCTCCTGTACCAAGTCCAAGACTCAGTGTTCGAGTTCAAACTGAGTCTTTTGGAAAGGCATCAACTGTGATTTATAAACTAGCTATATATCACTATACCATTATACTGTTCTATCAACTGTGACGGAAGAAGAGCATTAGAGCCCAAATCCCTTGGAAAACTATTCTGGCAGCAAACAAGCTTCACTGTTATAAACTCGCTCCTATTTTCTGTTTTGAGCATTTCAAATCCCAGCTGTTGACCCTTGCTACAGCCTACTAAAGAGCCCTTTCATATAAGGCATACTTATAAACAAAAAGTGACATTTAAAACAAGGAACTTGGCAGTTCTCTCATCACTAAGTTAAGTAGGATAGAGGGTTTTTAATGCGTTCTGTACAGAGTTACCACATGTCCACTCAGAATCTTCTATTTTCTAGTACCTTTTGATGCTGAAACCGAATGGAGACTTTAATTCCTATCCTGGTCTTACATATGCTCCTGCCACCAGAAAAGTCACAGGTGAAAGAAACCTTCCCTTTTTTATACATCCAAGCATTGTACTCAGCCTTGTCAGCTGCAGAATCAGAAAGGATATTTGTTCAACATCACTGAAGTTACCTCATAGCCGATTGCCTGTCTGAACACCTGCAGCTTGCCTTCCTCATCACTAGACAAAAGGGGCATTTTTACTATATGAGGACATCAGTCACATCTAGCTTTGCAGCCACAGGGCTTTTGGTTACATTTATTGCACCAGTCTGTGTGGTCTCTGCAGTCTGTCATCAGCTTTTTCTCTTATTCCATCGTTTCATGTAAGTACTGAGTGGGAACACCACCAGCACGGGATCAGTATTTAACAACCAACCTCCAAAATAGGCAGAAGATACTCAGCTAGACTGAAAGAGGGCAGAAAGATGATATCTGCATCAGAAGCAGAGGTGGGCACCCTGATGTGCTTTCATCTTTCCATGAGATACAGCTCCCTGCTGCTCTGATCTCTGGCCTATGTGCCAGAGTCATAGATCCCTTCTCAATTAGTCTGTTTCACCATAAAGGCATAAAGACGACTGCAAAACACCAAACAGTGCCTAGCAAGCCTGCCACCTCCTGGCTGTGATCATGGCCGGTAGAACAAATAAAGGGGGTTTTGCTTTAACTTCAAGTGATCTTGCTGAGGACAACAAGAGTACCAATAAATCAAAAGAACGACTGGAGCTTGCAACACTTCCCAAACTGAACAGAGGAAAAGAACCCCTCCAGCACCTTATACGCAGTGCTCACAAGCACTGGATGGGGGTCACATCCCTGCTGTTCCACCCATGCAAACACCACAAGCCTGACACTGAGAAACATAGGCTGTTCCCAGCCACCCTCCTGCCAGACTGAGCCCATCAGACAGCTGTAATTACATCAGGGAAGGACCACTTCTTCAACACCACAGAAGCTGGCCATTAACTCGCAACAATTCCAAATGGCATTTTCCCTCAGCATTTTAACAATTTACATGCCAAACATTTCATCACAGCTCTGTTTAGCTACTTTGGGCTGGAGATTAAGTAGTGAAGTAAAACGTCAGTTCTGATTCATGTTTAACCTATTTCTCCAGATCCCACCTTTGATTAGTGAAATTCTCTGACGCCGCTCACCTCCAGAAGAATAAAGGTTTTGCTTGTGTGCAGGTGACTACCAAAGAGGACTTTCACTAGAAATTGAGAACTTTATTTTCAGAGGAGTTGAGTTTCTCCTTTCTCCATAGTGTTTTAGAAAACTCAGCAACTCTGGAGTATTTATAGACACAGGCTGACTATATCAAGACCTCAGTGGTAGTGTGGGTCTCCCTGGCACTCCTGCCAGCCTTGAATAGTTACTTTCCCTTTTAAGCCATTTGTCATTTTCCACCTAAGCTTCATAACCAAGTGCTCATTGAGCCAGAGTAAATATCCATTTACCATTTAGCTTGTCCATTCAGTTCCTTCTACTTTGAAAGTCTGTTTGAAAATGAAAAGTTACCTTTGTTATAATGCTCTTTTTTTTTTTTTGACTGTAGAAAGTTTCAGAAAATGTCTGTAATTAACAGGGAGATTAAAGCTACATGATGCTATTCTATGGCATACTTTTACTTTAAAACACCAGCTCCTAAAGTCACATCATTAAGTGAGAACTTCAGCTTTCCTTTATATATAGGAAAAGGAAGTATCCTATGGTGCTGGGGAAAAAGCTTGAAAGAGTAAATCCAGAATTCTTAGAAACAAAATCCCCTAAACAAAGATGATTCAAAGTGTATGCCTGTCTTAATCCCTGTTTTTTTGCTTCTTTTTTCCACCTCAGCTGTTTTTAAGGGTTATGCAGCCAACGATTTGTCTGGCTTCACCTCTAATGCAAGTAAACTTGAACCAAATTTGACAGTGGAATAGAAGTCTAAAGATATTGAATTCCTACAAGGGCTGCGGAAGTAAGCATCTCTGTGGGAAGGAAGACTAGGCACCTGCTAGCAAAAGATGTGGGCGCTGGTGAACTCCCACAGGAGAAAGCCTTTGCAAACCTTCCAGATTAAGGAAGTTTCTTCTGGAGCTCAGATACCACCCTTGAGACACACATTCACAGAAAACCAGATTTCCTCCCTTCCAGCGCTCATGGATCTATACCCTGAGCCCTTGAGACTATAAAGCAATACTTTAAAATATGCCAGTGGGCTTTGAAATTGCCACTAGAAAGAGCTGGAAAGCTTTCTTATTGTCATCAACTGGCTCTTACAACCTGCTTCTGTCTGCAGTTCTGGGAGCAGCTTACAAATGAGATCAGTGCTGTTTACACCTTGCTGAAGACAAAAGTCACTGCTCATAGCCTCAAGGCAGGTCAGTAATAGGTAAGGCCACCCAAATTCCAGGCCAGAGTAGTATCCATTAGACACGCAACCTCTGCAATTTCAGGAGTCGGAAGCCAGCTGACTCTTCCTGCTATAAAAGCCGACACTTTGGCAGACAGGGCAGGCAGCAGCCCTGCTCACCCTGCAAATGTTAAAGCACTGTTTTTTGATTGCTTCCAAGGAAGGCATTCAAGAGTGAACAGCTTTCAAGGAGTGTTCATTCAGATCTCTCCCATCAACACCATAAACCTCTCCATAGCAACAGGCTAAGATAATTAAGGAAGATACTGTTGTGGCAGCAGAAGCAATGTTAATTTGTGTAAGAAGGGGAGGAAGGGGAAGGGAACAAGGCAACGCAACACATTTCTAGGAGAAAGAGAAATACAGACGAGTGTACCATTTCTGTAGGGATTCATCCTACTGGCGGCAAATGACAGTGACTACAAAGGCATACAGTTTTTTCGGGTGACTCGGGCAGAGCAAAGTGGCTCTCAGTTGGCATTACTTTCTAGAGGCTCTTTCTCTAATGGTTTGTGAGAGGTGCACACAGCAGGTCATCTTAACCTCTCTGTGACAATACAGCATGACTGAAAGGATTATATGTTCAGAATAAGTCAACCTGCTGCTCCCCAGGTCTCTTTTCACCCTTTCTCAGGATGTGAGAAACCAGTCTGATCTGCTTGAACAGGCAGAGGAAAAGAGTCTCCTGCAGGGCCCTGTGCCATTTTAGTAAAGGTCAGTTGGCGATTCCAGTATTCTTAAATAGTTTTAGAGCCAAGATCTGAGGTAGCCACAACATGCAGCACTTCAGTAAATTTTGCCCGATAAATGATAATTTCAGAGCAATTAGAAGGCACTCTCCCCTGCTCTGAGCAGGGGCTTGATCAGATGACCTCTGAGGGCCCTTCCAGTATAAATTTGTTTATGAATCTGATATAAGTCCTGAACCTGCAATTCCCCCATCTCTCTGCCTGAGCTGGGACATTTGAGGATGCTCAGCTAGCTCAGGACTGATCAGCATCAGCCAAGGGGAGGCCAGGTGACCAGATTTGTCTCAGCCCAGGTCATGGTCCCAGCACTGCTCATTTTAGTTGTACTGTATCTGCAGAACAGAAACCAATGTGAGACCAAACATACAAAGCCGGATGTCAGTTTGGGGAGCTCTCCAGTTTGAACGTATTACTGCAGTTTTAACTTGAAAATCTCTATCCACAGTTGGCAAGAAGAGACACAACCTGAATCCTACAGGATCTCCAGCACTTCCCTTTTTTCCCCACTCACAAGCCCTAAACTCAACAGGAACAGTGTCACCACACATTTCATAACCATCACAAAAGGTTCAGTTCAAGAAACGGACAAAGGTTCAGGGAGGTTATTTTCCAGTTTCACGCCTAAAACTCGTTTGCCTAGACCAGAATAAGCTCATGTAGTGGTTACTTAAACACTAGGCTCTATTATTGCCAATAAAATGCGTGGTGAGCCTGCCCCTCCCAAATGAGCAAGGCATAAAAACTCGCACCAAAGTTCAGGCTGGGAAATGATTTAAGAAGATAGTGCCTTTTATCAATACCATTAGAGACTTCAGGCTGTACATTAGCTGCAACAGGCGAGAGACAGAGCCAAGCTGCCATGACCATTTTATACAGGATGTAGAAGTTGTTATTTTCCAGAATACTGAAGATACACTTAGATGATGTACAACACCTAGATTTCATTGTTCATATTCATTTTTGCCAACACCTACAATTCTTTCTTAAGTCACAACAATGCAAGAGTGCCCGCACTGGCTTAGACCAAGGGTCCCTCTGTCCCTGTATCCACTTCCAACCTGTGTGTGGATGCTCAAGGAAAACCAAGAACAGGGCAAGCATGTGCAATGCTTCCCCTGTATTACTCTCCCAGCTTTCAGCTACTTTCATCAGGCTCAGGGAACACTCCAAGATTAAATTTGTCTGTTCAGCAGCCCCCACTACGCTCTCTCTTTCAAGTATTATCTAGTGTCCTCTTCAACAGATATAAACCTCTTAATTCAATAGGTCTGCTCCCTGTGGAAGTACTACGGGTCTTGCAATATGTGGCCTTTTTGCTTAATCTCACCTGCTGGGTCTGCTAAACTACATAAATATGTCAGTATTCACTAGAAAAAAGAAAAAGTGCTTTTAATTCTCAGTATTATAGAGAACATCTAGAGACTGCCACATAAACACACCCTAAGGGGTCTTAGGACAATCCATGGCACGTCAAGAAAAGGGATTATAAAGCAGTGTATAAGTTTCCCTCAGCTCCTTGGAGCCTAGTCTCCAGCAGTTGACAGTAACATGTGCTCCAGAACAGCCACAGAACTTCGAGTTTTAACAGAGATACAGCACAACTGCTGGAAGATTAGACAATTTTGTCCTCATTGCAAAATCTGAGCCAAGTTTCTTTGCCTATAAACATTTGGGAGGAAAACTTGATGTGCTGAAAACAGATTCCTTAACAGTGGTTTCACTGTCTCTGGCACCTCAGGATCCTAGAAAGGTGCTGAAGCAAAAATGATGTAGATCTTCCTTATTGCTCCCAGGTGGACACGGTCAATGCCCAGAGGCTGGTTAATTTGGCCTCCTGCATCCACCTACACTTTGGCATTCCTTCCCCTCTCCCACTCAGCGGAAGTGAGGCACTCACCCCTCCTGCTAGAACAAGCCCATTATTCTGTGCTGGGTTCCTCCTGTGTTGACCCAGTTCCAGTTTCACAGCTAGAGAGGTTTGGGGTTTTTTTTTTGGATCTGAACCAAAATCAAGATCTGCATTCTTAAGTGTTTAATCAACTGCAGAGTGGAGGAGGGATCATCTAGTATAGTTTGGTTCATATTTCTTTATTATTCACTGTTTCTCCAGTAAAAAAAAATGCCTTTTCAGCTCTGGATTACTAAATAGCAATAGTTCTTTGTCTCTTTTCCTGGCAGTCCTTTAGTCTCATTGAACGGGTGAAGGGGAACGGGAAAGCTTTTACTATCAGTTAAAAGACAATACCTAAAGATTTCAGCAGAAAAGGGAAATGAATTTCCCATCATTTCCCATCATAGTATAGCACAAACACGGGAGCATGCTGCAAAGGCACTGTCTCGGTGGCTAAAATATGGGGGTAGCAAACTTCCTAGTTTCTGTTGCTATGCAGCCAGAGATCTGCCAAGCACCCTGAATGCTCCCAGAAGGCAAACACGGGCTGTAGAGGAGGCTGAGCCCTTCCTACACCCACAGTGGTAACCCCACGTGAGCGAGGAGGGGCATACCCTGCTCGGCAGGCTTTCGGCAGCATTCCTACCAGAACGTTTCTAGGATGTTTTCCACTTCTCGCAGATAAACTCTCCTGAGTCTTCCTCCCTACTACAGCAATCCCAGCATCTGTGAAAGTAGTATTAGGGTTGGTTTGCAAGGCAGCACCTGCATGTCTGTCTGGGATGTTCCAGTTGGCGCTCTGGCTCAGTGGTCTGAGGATGCTTTCCAGAGGCCTGCACATAAGGAGATGGGGGGCTGCAGTCATGTTGCAGCGGGTGCTAGTCTGCAGAGGTGAAGAGATTGAATCCCTCAACAATACCTTATACTGTAATCTAATCGTGTGAAATCAGGGTGTACTGGAGATGATGCATCCCCTTTTCCTCCTACAACAAAATATGTAGGAGTTCACACACATGCCAATCCTGGAGATGTGCTACAGATGTAGGCTTAGGTTCCTCTCTAACTGCAGCTGCTATGGAAAGGTTTCTTAAGCCTGGGAGGGAGATACAGGACAACTACTGCAACAGTGAGCTAGAGATTTACTGTAAAGCTCTGAAATGCTGCCACATTGCTGCTAAAACCAGTGACTTGCAAGGCCTGCTCCAGGAGCAGTGCCCTACTTTGAACCCCCTGCATTGCTGCTTAGAATTGACAAAAGTAGTCAGCTTGGGGTTTGGTGTGATTTCACCCCTCCAGCACTTCCAGGTCACACAGGCAAGCACATCCCAGAACACCAAAGACCATTCGGCTCATGCCAGAGAGCCCACGCACCTACCCAGCTACTCCCCTTGTGATCCTCACAGGTCTGCTTCCTTCCCACGCCCCAAGTGGTCAGGGAAGGGGTGGGAGAAGCATTACATGCTCAAATATTCCCCAAAAATGCCTGCTGATGCATCAATATACAACAACAACGACAACAATGATTATGGTTGCCAAAGACGCGATCAAGTTAGAGATATCCCAGCCTTGCTAGACTTCCTCCAGAAAAGGGAAGAAGGAGGCAAAAGAAAGAATTGCTGGGTTTTTTTAGCGATTCTGAACACACTGCATTTCTTTGGAGACCACAAAGTGCATGACAAGTGGCCAGCTACGATTAGCTTATTTCCCACCTGGCTTTCTATGCACAGCTGCAATCTTTTAGAGTCCTACACCAAGTAGCAGGGAACCAGAGTTTGGGGTAAGAGAAACCCACCCCCAGCCCAGAAGTTTTTTAATCAGCGCCACCAGTCGCTCCTTCTCCTTCTCTTGCCGCTCCTTCCCACAGGGGCAAGAAACAAAGCCGGAAAGCACAGTGATAGCAAGACACCTCACCATCCAGGCTAGTTCTCACAAGATTCAGACTGGGGCAAAATAAAAGGTAAGTGGATTGCATTCTGCCTCCAGCCGCCGAGCAATTAAGAGATTAGTGCAGCCCTTTAAAATGTGGTGCTGTTTAGATTTTAGAGGGTTTTACTTTCCAGCCTTAAACACCTGGGGGGTGGTGAGGAAAGACAATGCTTCTTTCTCCACATTTTCAAGTACCAAAAACATTGCCAGCATTTGGTAAACACCCCACCCATTTCAACTAGCTTAAACAATGACTCCCTCTCCATTTACTAACAGGTAAACGGAGGCACAGATTTTAGGCGAGTTGACGGAGGTTAGAGAAAACCCTTGCGGCAGAAGGTGGTACAGAAACTCCATATTCAGTACTGCTTTGGCCCAGCGACCCAGCAACGCAGCTGCTCAAGTGACACCTGGATGCCAGTGGCCTTTAATGCTACTGCAGCCCTGGTTTGCGCTGACCTGTTCCTGGCACCTTACCACCAAATCCATGCTCCTGTATTGTCAGATAGGCATCGTACACGTCCCTCTTCACGTAGTTGAGAAAGCCGGTCTTCCTGGCAAAGCGGCACACGAAAGCCTGCTCGTAGAGGCAGTCGAGGAGAAAGCAGCCTTGGATGTGGTCTTCCCCCGCGCCCGGGCGCTGCTCCACCAGGGCCAGGTTGCACGCGGGGTCCTTGCAGCAGGCCCGGACGCAGTCCCTGCCCCGATGGACCCGGGGCGACGACAAGAAGGTGGCTCCGTGCTGGACGGAGGCGTCGGTGTCCAGCACGAAGTCCGGCATCCCCGCAGTGAAGTGGTCCAGGCACGTTTCCCCAAAGGGTTTGCCCTCCTGCCCTTCGCCGAAGCCCGACACCGTCAGCAGCACCAGGGGTCCTTGCAGCAGGCCCGGACGCAGTCCCTGCCCCGATGGACCCGGGGCGACGACAAGAAGGTGGCTCCGTGCTGGACGGAGGCGTCGGTGTCCAGCACGAAGTCCGGCATCCCCGCAGTGAAGTGGTCCAGGCACGTTTCCCCAAAGGGTTTGCCCTCCTGCCCTTCGCCGAAGCCCGACACCGTCAGCAGCACCAGGGTGGCCCAGAGCCCGGCCGGCAGCCCC